AGACTGGAATCTATTATCTAATAGAGTACATGTATGGAAATTTCCCCTTTTTACATCAAATATATGTTAACTTAAAAAAGTTCTGTTAAGGTAAGCCTTTTTATTATGAAAACAAAAAACATAAAACAACAACAAAAAAAAGCAGCAACAGGTAAAACTAAAAGCAGGTACATACCTGTTACATTTGTTTGCAATATTTTGAAGACATTACTGATCCCAATTGAGAGAGAATTTGAGTAAAAATTCCTAAGGGCTGTAGCACTGGCTTCCAAAGTAATCTGTATTGATTCTGTGGGAGTAAGTAGAGGAAACATTAGGACTAAAGCAGTATTGTCTGATACTTCTGTAATGGTGATAAGGCTTCATTATTGTGCTATCAGACAGAGTACTGAGGCACTGGTCATAGGAGATTGTTAAATTTATGTCAATCATAACATACATATTAGTAACTAGTTTGTTGCTATCACAGAAAACAATGCCAAAATATTTATACAAATTTTGTATATATGTACTTAAATAGCACATGTCACAGAACAATATACACTGGCTTATCTACAAGTTTCTGAAGTAGAAAAGTTTATGTAAACTCAATTGCTTTAGTAAACAATTTCTTCTAACAAAGTCTATGTCCTATATTTTATGACTTAGTTAAAATGGTTATCATAGCCTTTTGTGCTCTTTGAAAAAATTGCTAATACAAATGAGGCAACTTGGAGCCTAGCTAATAAAATGACACTAGAATTTTATCCATTTTATGTGTAAATGAACTGATCAAAAGAACTTTTCTCAGAATAGTGGTACAATAATACTACAGAAAAAAAAATTAAAAGCTAAAAAGTAACTTAATACAGTACATTTTCTTTTGAATTAGATAGAAAAGTAGATTCAGAAATACTAAGGATTACAGAGGAAATAAAAAGCTTTGCTTGTAATACATGTAAGGCAGTCTTCTTCTTAATTTAGCAATATCATATTACAAACTAAAAGAAGATTTTTAGCAGTGTAGCCAAAGATTAATAGCTGTTGAGTTGAATGGTGAAAAGGTTTCATTTTAAACAGGTCAAGTGTTTACAAATGCTTTCATTGTACAAATTAAGCTTTTCTACTCACCAAGTCCCGGTGGTATGTTCTTGGCTAAATGATAAAGCCATTTAACTCTAAGCATCCAATCCTGATTGGTTGCTCTTTCTATGAGCAAATTAACAGCTAGGGTCAAAACATGTGGTTCATCAATCCAGTAAGGATCTAGTTCTATTGCTCTGAATTTTAGGTTCTCAGGGTTAGAAGACTGCATAATTCTCTCCAAGTCTTCCAAGGTAAGAGGCTGACTCCTATATTTTAATGGAAGAAGTAAAGTTAGTATTAAAACAACTTGCTCTATCACATCTGACCAAGAGAAAAAATAATTATAGAAATATTTTGTCACTGGACAATTAAAACATATACTTAGGTCTGGGAGTATAGTTCACTAGTAGAGAACATGATTGGTATGTGCAATGCTCTAAGTTCGATCCTGTGTATGAGTGTGTATAAAAAATAAAGGAGTGATGGTAATAGTTAAAATATGACAGTTGGCAAATACTCATGCAATGTTGGGGTTGAATATATTATGTTCTGCCCATTATTACAAAATCAAAACCAGCCAAAACCCAGACACACACAAGCTCTGCTGACCTCACCCAGCTGCTGGTTTTCACACTCATCCTGTTGAGGCAGTGTGCCAGGATCTGTCCATCACTTCGGACAACAGATAGGTGAGAATCTTCTGTAGCAAACAGAGCTGATGGAACAGAATCTGGCCACAACCCTGTGGCTAGAATGCAGTTTCCCCAGGTTTTCCGTGCTTGCAGAGAAGAAACACATTTTTCCAGCAAAACCTTTACAAGCTGTAAGAATTAAAATACAGAATATGCAGGTATGAATTAAGTGTTGCTACCAAAAATGCTAGCAGAAAATGAAATGATAGCTTCCAAAGTTCACATTACTGTTTCCCAAATCTTAGAAATACTCTTCGAAGTATACTACAAGTTAAGATCTACTTTTGTTAATTACAGATCAGTTTCAAAAGAAGAATTTTTTTTTTTTCAAAGGTGACAAAGGAGTCTTTATTAGGCAGCAACCATCCTGTCCTGGACTTTGGTGTTTCAGAACTAAGAGCAGCCCTGGCCTTTCGTGGGGCAGGGTTTATAAAGGCAAAAGCCACATGCAGGTGGTGAGGTGGTTTCTCAAGCAAGCAAACTGATTCACAGAAAGTAAATTTGCTGTTAGCCTTATCATAAGCAATTTCATAAGGTTGCATCCTGGCGCCATTAGGGGCGGGAGCACTTCTGCAGCTGCTGCTGGACCCAGCACAGGGAGTCAGCATTCTACTGATGCAGCTGCAGGCTAGAGATGTTGTTAAGTTTGGGGCTTGGGGGTCAACAAATGGTCAGAACTGTCTGATAGCCTGATTTCATGGAAATGGCTGAGGGCTAAGGATGGAGGTTGTTGAGCAAGAATGGCATCCTGTAAGTTATATCTAAAACTGGGTTTCAAAAGAGCAATTTTTACATTCAAGCTATCTTCTAGAAAGGAAGGACCTGAATACCAGATCTTTACTGGAGCAAATTTGCAGGGGTTAGGTCTCCCAGGTCATTAAAGATGCTTTCTATATAAAAATAATTTCCCTCTCCTCAATAATATAGCATGTTATTGCTAGAAAGCTGTGTGGAACATATCATAGTACCTTCTGATTTGTTGCTGAATGCTGAGAGCGGACATACATTTCCCAGCATGCCCCTGAAAAGGCTTGGTCTAAGCTTAGCCCACGCTGCAGGTATTGCACAATGAGTACAGCTGTCTGAATTAGAGTAGTCACAGAAGAGGTTGGAGAACCTATAAAAAGAAAATACTGTCACCTGTAAGTTATTCTTTAAAACCTCTGAAGAAAATAAGATAAAGTCTGCCCTTATATCAAGTCTCCTTCTACTCAAACCCAGTTAAATATGTATTTTTAAAAAATTGTAAGTATAATGTAGACATTTCCTAGGGTAACAACAGATTTGTGTTCCTATCTCCTATCTGGACACTTTCTCTGTTGTGTACTATGGTAGACTCCTTCACAGGTATGATAATGACAGTCTTGTTGCACGTATACTTAACCTGAAGCTGACACACTGAAAGTGGGCAAATCACATGGCCTTATAAAAAACTACAGGATTTGAAATTCAAACAGATACTATGTTGAAATCACAGCTGTTATCATTACCAATTAATTCTGACAAGTGACTGAAACAGTTTGCTTTTAAAATAGGAATGTGCTTCACACAGCTAAGCAAATGGAACAGAACTGTACCAAAGACAGAACACTCAAAAAAGCATTAGATTTATTACTGATCCTGTTATGCAGAACCAGAGCTATTGTTCTCAATCAAACTTTGCACATTACCTACCTTCTTGAGGCCCATCACGTCCTTAGATAAGAAACGCAAAAACTCACAAATTACAAATCACAAAAAATCTAAAACTGAATCACTCAAACAATGGAATCTGGTTGGCTGCATGATTTACTTGGGAATCATTTAGCACACTGATTCTGTTGCCTTACCCTGATACTCTATGTATCTACAACTTACTATCTGCAATTTAACAGGCTTTCCCAGTATGTCTACTTCCATGGACACTATGTAAAAACATGAGGTAACATCAAGTTTTACAGGATTTAAACTCTCCAGAGGCCTAGAGGTTAAGTGCCTCACCTACAAAAGTCCTCTGGATCTCTGCGTGGAAACCCAGTATGATGTCACACACACTGTCTCCCACCAACCCAAGGCTGTGCAGCAGAACTTTCATGTCCATGTTGTCTGGGATAATATCATCCCAATCTCCTGAAATGTAGATTTCAAGTCCACGATTTCTCATAGCTCGAGATATTTCTCCATGAATTGGATCCATAGAAAGAAAAAGCCTAATAAAATTGCAATTAAGAGAAGAGTTAAATCCCAGTGTAAACAACAATGTAACCTAGAAACATTTGGTGAAGTTATATATAGCTTATCTAAAGGGAGTTCATCAAGGAAAATTAAGATACAAATACCTGAAATTGGGATGTGGAGTAATTGTGGGAGTAGATCCATCTATTAGTCCTCTCTCATTAATTGTAAGGACACCTCCAGGTTCGAGCAAAGCATTCAAACGATCCAAGACTGATGGGCTGCACAGACAGAATTCAAATGGCAATGGCAGAGAAGTGGACATGCTCCTTAGTTCTGTTCTCCTTGCTCAAGCCTCCAAATGTTCTGACCTGCAACTTTCACTCCCAGAGATTATACCTCACATAGGACTATGATCTCTTTCAAGAGTAACTATTCTATCTAACCCCCACTGCCCAATACACACAGTCGTATCTTTATTCAAAGTAAATTAACTCAATTAAATAAATGAAATAAAAGAAAATTCCAGGCTGGGAAGGTGGCTCAGTGGTAGAGCGCTTGCCTTGCATGCCTGATGCCCTGGGTTCTATTCCTCAGTACAACATAAGCAGAAAGAAAAAAAGCTGGAAGTGGAGCTATGGCTCAAGTGGTAGAGCACTAGCCTTGAGCTGAAGAGCTGAGGGACAGCGCCCAGGCCCAGAGTTCAGGCCCACGACCAGACCCCCCCCCCAAAAAAAAAAGAAAAAAAAGAAAGAAAATTCCCTATACTACACAGGCTTTCCCCCCTTCTAGCCTCAACAAGAAACATTGAGTAAAAACATCAAGAAAGAAAAGCCACAAGGTGTAGTAATTGTGTGTATATAGCTTGAACTCAGGACCTCTTACTCTCAACTAAGCCTTCTTGATCAAGGCTAGTGCTCTACCACTTTAGTTTTGCCTTCAGTCCTGTAGTAGCTTCTATTACACCAATGAAACAAGCAGTCGTTTTGTACTTGTGTATTTCTTTATACTAGGATCATATGTGATATATGATCATCTGACTTGTAGTCATCACTGATACACTTATAAAATGCCTTGTATCAGAATCTACATTTCAAAAATCTTATTTAAAAATGACTTTAACAAATGAAGACTTCTGATATTAAATAAAAAAGGCTTAACTCATGATATTGCGGCAATTTTGTTAGTGTATGCTTCAGCAGTCTCATGGCAAAATACCATAACCCCTATTACTAGTCAAGATAAACAAAGGGCTGGGCAATAGTGGCTCACACCTGTAATCTTAGCCACTACGAGGCTGAGATCTGAGGATCACAATTCAAAGTCATCCTGGGCAGCAGAGTTTATGAAACTCTTATCTTTAACTAAGTACCAAAAAAAAGCTTGAAGTAGAGCTGTGGTTCAAGACGTAGAATGCCAGCCCTGAACAAAAAAGCTTAGAGACGGGGCTGGGAAGGTGGCTCAGTGATAGAGCACTTGCCTTGCATGCATGAGGCCCTGGGTTTGATTCCTCAGCACCACATAAGCAAAAGGAAAAAAGCCAGAACTGGCGCTGTGGCTCAAGTGGTAGAGCGCTAGCCTTGAATTGAAGAGCTGAGGGACAGTGGCCTGGCCCAGAGTTCAAGCCCCACAACCGGACCCTCCCCCCCCAAAAAAAAAGCTTAGAGACAGTGCCCTGGCCCTGAGGTTCAAGACCCAGAACTGACGAGTGCACGCTCACGCACACACACACACACAGAGACACAGAGAAACAAAGGATTAAAAATAAAAACCTGTCATATAGGTTTCTACTTTACTAAACCTGACACCATTAGGCATACTGGTAAATGAACATAAGGTTCTTACTTGCAGAAGTTAACATTGTCCATGAGAAGCCAGTCTCCAGATTTCAGGGCCTGAACTAACATGCTGTCAACCCATTCAAATGCTCCATGGCTGCAACCATTGGCAGACTGTGTAAGCTTCACTCCAAAACTTCGGAAATCTTCCACAAGTTTGGCAAACTCTATAATAACAAGGGCAATGTAATATCAACATCCATAGTGCTAAATTTCAAACCAAGGTA